CTAACTCTTTCTTTAAAACATGGATATACATTATTTTATATAAATGTGAAAAGACTAATTAATTTGTTTTAATCTTCTTATTTACTTTTTTTTTTAATTGTGGTTACTGTACACCATGAGATGTCTGTAAATTCCAGTTGTGTCCCTGGTGCATAGACAGAGGTATGCTGATGGAGCTTCATCTTATTCACTGTAGGAATCATTGATACAAACGTCCACCAGTGAAATCTGCTAGTTCAATCAGCTCATATTTTGGAAGAATGCTCTGCATCAGCTTGCATTCCAAAACTTCTGTTATCTATACAAACATCTCCTCATAATGTATTAAGTCAATACAATCATACTTAAGATATAGGAAAATTAAAATCCATTTTACATAGAGAAGGCTATTGAGACCAAAAAGTACAAAAAATGAGTACCCTATCAGGAAATTATTTATTACCTGTTCCTTGAGACCAGATATTCAGATGATAATAAGATATGTCATCAGATTTACAATGTAGGTGAGTAGTGCACCTAGCAGTAGCTAGCTGGTTTCCAGGTGAGATGTGCATTGGGCAGATGCTAAAACTGGGTTTGCCCAGAATGCACAATTACCCATCCCTTAATAGTGAAACTGGTATAATTATATTTAGGAATAAACAGATTGACCAGTAAATGAATGGAAAATATTATGTTTGGAAGATGAAATATGCAAGAAAAAGTTGAAGATGGAGGAATATGTCTATGATAATGGTACAGTGTCCGTAATCTACACCCTTCTAATCCTTTCACATACAGACTAGGAGGACATGGTAGGAGTAATTCAGTTTTACTTTTAAATAAATGCAATTTCTGTCAGTAATTATGTTCATCTGGCAAACTGAACAGCTAGAAACAGGGAGAATAATAAACAGAAATGACTAGCAGCATCTTTCGAAAAAAGAAGTTCTGAGAAGCTGAGAAAAGAACGTATGTGGTTTCCTGGCTGTATTTATTTTCTCTGAGCTTGACTCTGCTCTCTGAAATAGTCTGCTGATCAGCAAGCCATGTGGAGGGTAGTTCAGATGTTTTACTTTGAAAGTGAATGATGATTCCACACTAACTCTAGAGGGCAAAATCCACCTACCATGTCTATAAGACCAGCTGTGCAGTCCGTGTCACTTCTTGTCACTCTGTCTGACAGGGGTGGTCCCTTATCAGCTATTTCAGTTCTAACCATTCTTGTCTAGCAACAGAGTTTAGAGCGGGAAAAAAAAAGAAGGAATAGAAGGAATTGCTGTGTCTTTGTGCAAGAAAGGACAAGTAGTTTTGTCTTCAGACATTTAAAGTTTGACAGAAAGCTTGGTCCCTTATCCAGCTGGTTTGCACCCAGCTTCCAGACAGTCTTGAATCCACATCAGCTCATTTTTCAAGATTAGAAAAGCCTCCCAACTAAGGTGTCAGAGAGTATGCTTGAAGCCTGAGAGCCATTTGGAGAAGTCCTAAATGTTGCAAGACTCTGGGAGCATAGCTTAATGAGATACAGGACTTGGCAGTGAAACTTGACAAACATATTAATGTTGCTGCATTACATCCTGCCCCAATCTTCTTTTCCTGCTCCAGTGATTAAAGTTCCCTCTTCCACATTTGTACAGTTGTTTCTGGAGCTGTGCCACAGCCTACATCACTCGAATGATACAGGCTAAAATCAATTTATTTTGGGGAGGTAATTCTTTATAGTAGCTTTTGTCCAATTACACTTTTCTTTTTCCCTTTAGAAATAGGCAAGAGATTGGGAAAGACATGACTGTGTCTCTGGGGTTAATTTGTAATTTATGCTGTCTGGAGAGGTCTCTGTATATTTGAGTGATGCTATATTCTACATGGGCCTGACAATTCTTCGTTTCTAATGTCATCACGTGAAATGTAAAGGAAATGAGAACTGAAGTTGCAATTTACCACTGTGAAGAGTCCTGCTTGTTGTGATAAAGTATTTACCAGGATAGAAGAGAAAGACATATCTTTGCTTCCATGGAGTCTGTTAAGAAGCATTGCAGGTATTTCTTAGCTAGAATTTAACAAATTCCATATTCAATTTTCAATACAACTGTTTTCTTTAAGTGCACATTTCTCTCTTCTCTTCCTCATTCAAAGTCCAGGATGATCTAAAAAAGTTCTACGCAGGAAGCTGACAGATAATGGAATAAATCTGTAGATCTGTGATGAATATGAAGTTGTTCTTTACATCTCTTTGATGCCATGCCAGGAGACCTCTGTGATTTAGTCAGGAAAAGGTAGTGTACATGCCAGAGAAACATTTTGTTAATCAACCCATAATTGCTGGTACATCTATTTTTGCTATTTTCTAGTTCCTTAAGATAAAAGATGGTTCTTTTTAATATTCTCTCAAAATTCCAGCAAAATCACCTCTGACAACCCAGTCTGGTAATTGTACCATATTTGCTAACGGAGCTGCAAGAACAAATATCCTACAAGCTTCTGCTTGCATTTATGGTTTTGGAAAAAGAGAAGTAGCAGGAAGTAGATGAAGAAAGAAAGGAAAGAAAGAAAGGAAAGAAAGAAAGGAAAGAAAGAAAGGAAAGAAAGAAAGGAAAGAAAGAAAGGAAAGAAAGAAAGGAAGAAAGAAAGGAAGAAAGAAAGGAAGAAAGGAAGGAAGGAAGAAAGAAAGGAAGAAAGGAAGAAAGAAGAAAGAAAGAAAGAAAAAAAAAGAAATAAAAAAGAAAGAAAAAAGAAAGAAAAAAAGAAAGAAAAAAGAAAGAAAAAAAGAAAGAAAAAAAGAAAGAAAAAAAGAAAGAAAAAAGAAAGAAAGAATTTATGACATCTGTGTCATAAGTAAACAGTTATAACTTTGCAATACTCAGACTGTATCCATCTTTTGTGGTACAAATTACCTGTATTAGAGGATAGCAAAAGAAAGGCAGAGAGGCATAGTTCTATTCAATTTATCAGTTGAGGTACTCAATTACTCCTTACACGAAAAAAGAAAGGTACAGACCTGCCAGCTTTCATTACTTGCTTTTTGTCTGAGTGGGCAGAACAACCTGAACTCTAACTTTTGTATTTCACTTTTTACATTTTTACACTGTCATCCAATTGGGCAAAAGTGTGACTGAACTATAAACTGGGAATTGGCAAACTTAAAAAGAGAGAGACACTTGCCTTGACCTGTGTAAAACCAAGGGAGGATATAAAAAAACTGAAGAACTAAGCATGTACTGTTTTAGCATAGTGATCAGCTGCAGTAGGCAAGTGGCACGTAGTCACACACCTGAACTTGCCATACAGACAAAAATTGTATCTCAAAGCCCATTAGTTAAGTTTGCGTGACTGCAGTTTACAGACCTGTACTGACAGAGCTGGTCTTTACACTGAAGACTAGTACGAATTACAGTGGATATAATACCAAAGGATAAAAACCAGTCATGGCTTAATCCTAGGTGGCAACTAAGCACCATGCAGCCATTTTGCTCACCTCCCTTATCCCAGGGAGGAGAATCAAAAGTCAAACTTGTAGGTTGAGATAAGAACAGTTTAATAATTGAAACAAAAAGAAAAAATAATAACAGTAAATAATAATAATTATAATAATTAAAAAACCCACAATCCCAAACTCAAGGGAAAAGAACTGATGCACAATACAATTGCTCACCACCAGCTGACTGATGCCAGGCCCTGGACTCACACCTTGATCAGCCCCCTTTTGTGTGTAATTCCCCCAGTTTATATACTGGACATGATGTTCTGTGGTGTGGAATATCTCTTTGGTCAGTTTGTGTCACCATTTTTGGTTTTTTGTTGTATCTCCTCACTGGCAGAGCATGACACAAAAAAAGTCCTTGACTTAAGATAAACACTACTTAGCAGCAACCAAAATATTAGTGTGTTCTCAGCATTATTCTCATACTGAATCCAAAACACAGCATATACAAGCTATTGAGAAGAAATTAACTCTAACCAACCTGAACTCAGAACAGAATCACAACGGTTATAACACGAAATGATGAAAAACTGCTTTAAGAGAAAGTACATTCAAAGTTAATCCATTTGTTTATTAAATAACTTATTATACATACTTTTCCTTTGATATTCTGTTCTTCCAAAGGCAGCGAAGGGCAAGGTCTTTTCTTTATGTGCTGAAACTAGGCTAACTCTAGAAATGTCAAAAATGATATTTGTCAGTGAAGACTGCTAACTGATGCTGATTATGATAATGCATCTGATTCATAAAAAGATGAAACCTTTTGTTTTAAATAAAAGCATCATCTGTCACTCTTCTTTCTGAAGGTCAGCATTTTAGTGCTTTTAAACACATCTATTTCTTCAGTGTGCTTCTTGGCACCTACTGTACTGCTTATTTCTTGACCTTCAGCAAGGTAAATTTTTTTCCCAAGTGTTTTTATACTTTGGACAAAGTATAATAGAACTTTTGTGTTCTACTCTAATTAAAGACTTCCAACAAAATTTTCCCTCAGCTTTCACTTATGGTCAATCTCGTTAGAAGAGTCTATCTTTTTTAAAAACACAATTACTGTTTCAGCAACAACTAGTTAAAATTGCTCATATGAAAGAAATATGAATGAGAGCATGAAACCTTCTATAATAGAGTCTTTTTCCAGGTCCAGCCTAAAATTGTGCATGGTACTTCCCACAGAAAGCAAAGAGCAACACAAATGGACTTGCAACTTTCTGGTCTAAGTAGGAAAAAAACCCTCAAACGAAAAAACCCCCTTTGACCTTCTGAACTTGCCTTTAGCAACATTAACACATATATATGAATATCTGTATTATATATATTGCAGATGCATGTGCATATATGATACCAAAAAAAAATTAAAAATGGTATTGAATATCCTACAAAAACACCAAGTGTCAGAACATATTCAACACACAATAACCTACCGGAAGATGCTAACAATATGATGCACCTGGCATAGGAATTTTTATATAAAGACTAAATCAAGACAAGACATGCTCAATTATATTTTCTGCTTTAATTTTACTGAAAGTTTATGACAAAGTTAGACTGGTCAAGGTAATTTTGACTATATCTGAAAATTAAAATAGGCAAATACTTTTCTCATAATTTTTCTTCATCTTGTTTGTACAGAAAATGCTACTGTGAGTCACGATGCCTGTGTCTAGAAGGTAGTGCGCAATGTTTTCTAAAGATATAGATGTTTTTTCTATATTATAACCATTTGATATTAACACTGTATCAAGGAGGAAAAATATTATGGTTTTTTCTTATTCTTCCTCTTAAAAGACCCTTAAAAGAGAGAGAAATTTAATGGTACATTCTCTTTGAAAGAAATGCTCTTCTTTTTTTAATTACCTGCCTAATTCTAATAAAAATAAAGCAAATCATCTTAGTTCATAGGTATGAATATCATTGCCTATGTCTTAAGTGTATCACAATAAAAAATTATTTTCCCTATGAAAATGTTTATTTTTTTTCTGTTCAAAAAAAGTGTAGAGATTAAATGAATTTTTTTGACACTGGAGTACCTCATTCTCATAGTTAGTCCATTAAGAGATATTTGGAGACAGACTTTGCCTCCCTTGGTGCACAAACAATGATGCATATTAGTAGATGGATAAGTATGAGTTATTCCAGTGTCTGACATACATCTGGAGAGCCTGACCCTCAAAACCGATGGATCAGAGATGTTGTGCAGCATCAGTTCTTGAAGAATTTAGAAAGTTGACAGGATAAGAGCCTGAATAATCTGATGTAGCTTTGAAGTTGGCCTTGGAGATAGCAATTGAATGTGACAACCTCAAGGTTCTGTCCAACCCTTTGCTCACACAGTAATTGTCCTCCCATCGAGCGAGAGCTACTTTTTGGTTTGGTTCTGACTCATCTTGAATTTATGATCTGAGATTTCTGGGTGAACATACACTCTAAAAAGAAGGGGTTGTAGCAATTGGTTACAGCTGTACCTGAGCTCTCAAGCCATCTGATGGTTTTGAACAGGTTTAGAAACAGCAAGGTAAGAAGATTCCATCATCTGCCTAGATGGGACATGCTGCCCAGAAAACAATTCTATTATGCATTGTTTTTGGCCCTCAGACACATGGGTGAAGAAATTTGTTTCTATCTCAGCAAATCACCATATTGAAAAAAATAAGCATATCACTGTACGAGAACTGCAGCTCAGTAGTAATTTTGATAATGACAATAATGCATATGAGCGGGACAAACACTGCCCTGATTTTACATCTGCAATCCATACCTGAGAAGCATGCACAAAAAGGCATTCTGCGAAATTATCATTTAGGCTGCTTTCTACTGTCAGACCAATGATGTGTACGTTCATTTTAAAGAGAAATAGAATAGCTTTTCAGATGAAATGTATCAAGTCTTCTTATGGCATCCATACCATTAGTTTATAATTACAGTGTTCTGAAACAGGACTGAAACAACTGATACTCTAAGGAATTGCTTTCATATCATTGCCATGCTTGTTTGGAAGGATAAAAAGTACTGAAAAAGGAGGGAGATAGCTATTTGCAGTTGTCCTTCCTAAAAGTTCTGTGTGCCATAGAGTACATGTCTACAACAGTAACTAGGGCTCAAACTCTGTAATACAGACATCCTAGCTTTTAAATCACTAGCTCACTATCTGGCACAGATGTGGCTTGGGTCAGCTAGAAGAACTCTTCAGTCCAGAGTCCAGATCAAGGCTTAAGAATCACCCTCGGACAGGGTGCTTTTCCAATCAACAGTTTAAATGTTACCTCTCTGTCTTGGGTGCTACAGATCTGAGCTGTGCTTTACCAGCCAGCCTTGCCCATTTCATTTACTACCACACACATAGTCATGGAAATGAAAGTACTTTAAAAAACCATCGTTCTTAAATGAGTTACTTTCTTCAACAACTTGATCATCTATTAGGAAAGATTTAATGAGAAAAAAATTTCCTGTTGTCTACTTAAAATATATATTTCATTTGTTATTTACTTGAAGATCTTAAAATTTGCTGGAATTTCTTGCTTCATAAAAAAATGTGGTATTTCTAGTTTGCTTTGGTTTCTTCTGTAGTGACTGAGAGAATCCTAACAGATACAGAAATACTGTTGTTATTTTAAAATACAAATCAAGCAAACAGTCAAACCCTCCCAAAATAGAATTATTTCCTAAGTTAGAGGTAAATTGCTGTAACTTCATTAAGGAGCTGTCATGGAGCCTGAGGGTACTGCTGTCAGCTCCATGAGGACCATGAGGGAAAGATTAAGGAGGCAGAAGACACTCACAATTTGCTGGCAGTCCAGGCTGAGATAAATAAATAGCTATCAGTTTCAAAATTTAGAAACTCACTTAATGAACCAAGCATTTCAAATAAAGAATATGTGAGAGGGTTTGGAGAAATATTTACATCCTTGAAGAGCAGGAATTCTAGTACAGGTTAGCAATGGCATTTACAGATCAGAAACATACTAAACTGAATTCCTCAGAATTCCTCATTGATTTTGCTGAGGGCACCGTCAATAAATCTGACTGGGTTTATAGTACATAACACACAATTTACTCCATTTAGTTTCAGCCTTTTGCTTCCTCTCCTTCCCCAGTCCCATCACTTTTTAAATTCCAGACTCCGATAATTCATATTTTGGCACCTAAAAATGGCAACAGAGAGAATAAAGTGCTCAGAAACCTGAATGTTAAGAATTGCCTTACACCAGATAAGAGGTCCCTGTAAATTGATAGTTTGCAGCTGACAGTAGCCATTATCAGATAAGCCTTTAGAGAAGTGTCTACAACTTCTGGGAAGAAAAATACCGATGCACTTATAGACTGCAGGCAACATCATACTTTCCTTTTCCTGTCAACCTCAGTTTTAACTTTCTCATCTCCAGCAGACACAAGCAAATGCCTGTGATTTTATACTCTTTTCTAAAGCACCAACCCTTCTCTTAACACTGCAGAAAATAACATAAAACTCTATTAGCCCTTTTCTTGACCTCGTGTCCCTTGACTTCACTTTTACCAGTAAGACTTAAATCTTGGTTTAAAAAATAGCATTTTGGTAAGAATGGTCGTATGATTAAAAAAAGATTGAGGACTGGTGCTACAGAGAACCTTAACAACACAGACTGCTGTCTTCATAGCATGGGTTTCAGCAGTAACAGTGGAAGGCAAGAGGCAATGGAAATGGATGAAGAGCAGCCACAGAAAACCTAGCTGAAAGTTTGCAAACATTTACAGAAAATGAAGAGCAATTAAAAAATATATGAAAGTGGTAAAAAATATACATAATATAGAGCCTTAAAAAGAGAGAAAAACATCATAGGAGTTCTGCCAGTGGTTTAAAGAATTTTTTTCAAATTGGGGTAATTATTACAGGGCAAAGATAAAATTTTATATCAATTGAAAAATTGCCTTATACACATTCCAAATATTTTGCCTACATTTCCTTCTTTCATCTAGCTGTAGCGTGATATTTCAGTCACATTTCACTCAGATCTGATCCTACTCTCCATGAATTATAGCTGCTTAATTTCAGCTAACACATTGAAATTTGGCTACTGAAGGATGAGGGAAAAAAAATCAGCAAACTCCACAGGTGTTGCAATAATAAAATGTTTTCTATATTTCTTTAAAGAATTTCTTGATTAAAACATCAAGAATGATACTTGGAATTTAATTACAACTTTATTTCAAAGTTCTTACATTGATGCATTTTTTTGGATATTAAAAAAGCATAGTTTTTTTTTACCTATACAAGTGTATGAGCATAGACCTTAGAGAAAACAACTGGACAAGAGAATTGAGTTCAGCAATTCAGTTATGCAACTGTGCAATAGCATTTTAAACTAGAAATAGGCCACAGAGCATCTATCCTGAAATTTGTTTCTCTTTGCAGGTCTCAAATCTCCTCCAAACATTTTCAAACTATTTTTAGATCTGCAGGGTAAAATAATTTCAAGGAGCACAACAGCCATATTTGAGAAGGTAAGCAAAAGAAATAAAAAACCCTGGCAAGGACAAAAGATGAACGCAGTCCAGAAAAACAAAATGGAATATCATACCACACATCAGCAAGAAAAAAAATAATAGTGGCCAAACATACCCCATGCCAGCACCACTAAGTGCAGTGCAAAATACAGTTATCTTTGATTACAGTTACCACATTCAGTGTGGTAATCTAAGTACCAAAAGAGTTCTAGCCAAAGCAGCGCAGGGTCTGTTCTGAATTATTATGCTCTGGTCAGAAGTGAGGCCACTTCCAGAACTTGAGCTAGTCAAAATTACCTCAGCTATTGCCACACTGGAGTAGGCACCACCACCAGTTCTGGAGTTCTGGCACATAAAGTGCATACAAAGAGACTAAAATGTATACAAAATTAAAAATCAAAACCTACATAAGGGACAAACGTGAAAAGTTGCATTCAAATCAAAAGATGTCACCGGAAGAATCAGCCTTCGGTTTAACCACTACTCTGCTAAAATTTAGCTTTACTTTGGATGGCAGAAATCACATATGGTTGAAGTTGGAAAGGACCCCTAGAGGTCATCTGGTCCAACCTCACAGATCAACAGGGTCACCTAGATCCAGTTGCTCAAGACCATGTTCGGATGGCTCCCAAGGAGGGAGATTCCACAACTTCCCTGGACAATCTGCCAATGCTCAGTCACCCTCACAGTGAAAAAGTGTTCCCTGATGTTTAGAGGGAACCTCCTGTGTTTCAGTTTGTGCCCATTTTCTCTGGTCCTCTCACTGGGCACCACTCAAAAATCCTGGCTCTCTCTTCTTTGCACCTTCCCTTTAGGCATATATATAAACTGATAAGATGCCCCCTGAGCCTTCTTATCTCCAGACTGAACAGTTCAAGATCTCTCAGCTTTCCCTCACAGGAGAGATACTTCAGGCCCTAGTTTATCTTTGTGGACTCTCACTGGACAAGGTACTCATCTCTAATCTAGAGCAAATGTGTTCTCTGGAGGTGGTGCAGCTGTGAGGTATTGCAGATAGGCAGCAAAATGGGGGTTTCTTGGGCAAGAGAAGGGCATTTTCTGCATCTGTTGAACACTCAGAATACCTTTCACTCTCTCTCTGCTCCCACCCTCTACCCTCATACATACAGAGAACCTTCAGGTACATGTATGTGTTTTCACACAGAGAAGTGTGTGAAATATACACATTTGTAGGTGTGCACGCTAATATCTGTCTCACTCCCAACCCTGCTAATAGCACATACAGTGCAATGTCACATAAGCCCTGATGCTGCTAATGGAGGAATAAATGAGGATTCGATTATGGAAAGCAATTATTCTTTTTAAGTGTCCTACCTAGCATCTAAAAACTTTACCTCTGGGGGCATACAAATGTAATACATTAGCTGGTTAAAGCTGTTGTAGCTTCTGTAGTCAGCAAACTATATTAGTAAAATTGACAAAGCTGTACTCTGAGAACAGTCTGCTGCAGGTTGCTATGGATAGTTCTTACTCAACCTTCTTCAGAATGTCATCTAATATGAATGACATCTATGAATGTCATATGCTACCACCTTTCTTTTGAGATATCCTTTGAACTCTGTGATGCAAGTTATGCTGTTACTACCACTCAATTTGAGGCAGTTGCATGATTTTCTAACTGGGGCATGATCAGCTTGGAAATGAAAATACCCCTAAGAAGAAGGTACATAAGACTGTACATTAGAAACAGTTTATTATAAGCACCAAGGATGAAGTTCTCCCTAAGAAGAGCTGAAACCAGCATACACATTCAAAGGCTCATGAGAAGACATGACACAACAATCACACTTTATCTAATCAACTCCACGTTTTCTGGGCTTCCTTCTTCTTGCTCAGTAAATTACATTAAAATTAGATTTAATGGTTACCTCTTCTACAGAAGCAAGTGAACCAAAAAGCCTGGGTCTATGGAGATAGTAGGTTTAAATCTCAGGGGCTTTCAGAAAAAAAACGGACAAAGTGTTTCTAAGCAGCCAAAATTAGCTTGAGGCAGCTGTATCTCAGTGCAAAGCTGTGGAGCCTGGAAACAACTGCTCCTCTTTCCTATCAAAGAAAGCAGAGACAAAGAAAACATCTGATCTGTGCGCCTCTTGAACACAGAAGTGAAAACACGAAGTCTGCTGCCAAATAGCAAAGAAACATAGAGAGGATTCATGCTTTTAGGTATGAGAAGTGTTCTTCACATTTAAATACAAATGTTGCTTTTTTGAGAAGGAAATATTTCATGTGAGGATTACAGCTAACTCTGTACCTGTAGAGCAACTTATTCCAGTACGGCCCTGTGAAGATTAGGCCTTTGTGCACTATAGCAATACAGATAAGTAATTTTTATAGGAAAGTCTGTATTGAAATTACTTAAGTCAATGAACAGGTGTTAAAACACATTTTACAAAATGAAGTGTATGTAAATTAATCACACGGCAAAGACCTTGAGACATTCTACAACTACTTTCTGTGTACAGCTGAAACTAAGTAACCCTAAAGTGGGAATTTATTGGTGGTCCTGGAAGACACCAAGGACATCTGTGTGCACTGTGCACATCCCTTGAAACTCCTGGGGCATGAGAAAAACTATACAAGCTAATAAGGGAGTTAAAAAACACAGAGGTGTCTTGCAGTACCTCTTAACTATCTATCCTCTTCTGTGTGCTGTGATCCCTCCACCTGCAGCTAAGGAGCTGAGACACCACCAATTAAGCCCTTCCTTAATACACAGAAATGGAGACCCTTCCCACTCCTTTCTTAAATGTTCTTTCTTCAACCCTTATGGAAAACCTGGCAAATAGGTAGGGCTTTGCAGCTCATCTTGAAGGTCAGTAGTAAAGAGGGGGGAAAAAAAAGGTAAAACTTGGCATTAAAACAGCTAAATAAAGGACTGACATCTTGCCACTATTATCTATTTCCATGAGAGGTAAATGAGGTCATGCCTAACTGCATTTATATCAAGCTAAGCAGCCCAAAAGAACAGCTCAAAAAACCCTTTAGGCTTGCCAAGGTCCTAAACGGTCATTATCTTACATAGGACAAATTAAGGGACATTTATTGAGGGACTTGGAGAATCTTTAATTAAGGTGAAGAAGAAATCCTGGCTTGCAGTCCTTACACTTGTTTGGTTCCAAATTGGAGCATAAGTAAAATGCGTAGATTAAAAGAAAAAGAAAATAAATTACTTCATAGGAACCTGCATGTTTATGAAGCTTAAGGATATAAAAACATTGAAATCCTCCAAAATTATTACATTGATTTCTTATACCAAAAAAATAGAAAAGAAAAATGCCTTCTATTTAATGTTGTCCTAATTAATTCTGCAAGCATTATTCTTGTGCTCCTGTGGAGTTAATTACAAATCAGTTTAGTATAATTAGATATTAATATCCTCAGCAATATTTTCTAATAACTCTTAACAGTATCATTGCTTGATAGAGATGTTTCATAACTGTAGGCCAGGTCCTGCAATCCTGCAAGAACCAGATGATTGCTTGCTGAAGAAATATTAGACAGCATTGCAGAATCTTTCCTTAACATTTAAAGTTTTAATATTACAACAGGATTCAGGCACACTGTTTTTTGGAAGCTATCTGAAAAATTCAGGTGCACAGTACTCATGGAGAATAATTCCAATCTTTTTTTCAAAACCTGAAGCATAGTATGAATTTTCATCTCAGCATTTACAAACACACTGGAACAGATAAACTGTGGACTGATATTATCTAAAGCAAGATTATTGACCAATAACCAGAGTTCTTATGATGTGTGATTGACAGGTAGATTTGTCCCAGCCCTTATGGCCCCCTCTGGAGGTATACAGACATCTAAAGCAAAGTATGGCTACCATTACTTCAGTTTCCTTTCAAGCGCAGGATGTAACAGAAAAATTCTGAACAGAACTGTAAAAGAATGGAAGATTATGAGAAATTAATCAACACCTGAACAACATATAATGTAGTGTAGCAGGTGAATACAATGTCTTTTCTGTCTTTTGACCACTACCATTCCACAGCTCTCTTCAAACTCTGTGAAATTTCAAGTAGTACTTCCCATACATTCAGTAATTATGAAGTTTCTTACTCCATAATTGCTCCTTTCTTCTAATTCTTCATGGAAGTCGCAACTACAGGATCAATTGAACAAGTGCTGCATCAGCTCTCTATAGCACAGACAGGCAGAATGCCAGGTTAAGATATAGAGAGAGCTCTGAGTATCTGCTAAACAAATGCCAGTCTTCAAAACATTTCTAGGAAAGCCATAGACATAGCTGGAAATGCCAAGAGATAACTGGCATTTTCTTATTATATACATTTCATTATATTCTTCAGTCCATACTTGGTGTATAAAGGTTGAGAATTGCTTAATTTTGAGGATTTGAACAACAGTCTTAGCTAAAGAAGTTTCTTGAAAAAACAGGTATGTTGACATCTTGCTTAATGTCGAACTCAAAAATCCCTCTCATGAAAAACTTTGGATTTTTTTTAAGAATTTCTTGTCTTTAGATAACTGTTTTCAGCAATGTTCAGGCATAGGATTGGTATTTCTGTAATCATTTTGGCAGCAGTAAGTCAAGCAGAAAGGTTATCATCAGTGAGAGGAGTAACAAGCACCAAGCACCAGCAACCCAAAAAGGGTTGCTTGAAGCTCTGGAGGTAGAAGCTGCAGAAGAACAGAGTTGCTATTGGGGCAACAAGTTAAGCTTTAAGACTTGAGGACAGAAATTATAACTACAGGTTCGTGACAGGTGGATATATACAATTTGGTGAAGAAAATCCACATTGCTTTAGTGGAGGATACCAGTAACTTAAGGTTGGTGGGAAAGTAGTGTGTGGGAAACTAAGGCAAAGAACATGGGTAAACGTATGACTCTTATTGAGGCTAATAGGGACCTCTCTGTAAGAGATGGATATTCTCCATTAGTAAGGTCCATCTATATATCTACATCTGTACCATGGTATAGAACAAGATTAATTTGGATAATGAAGTAGCCTGCATTAGAAGATGTGGGAAATCAAGCTGAGTCCCTTGACTCCTAATTGATTGTCAAAGGCTCAGATAGAAGAACTCTTTCAGCTACATAGGATTATCTGTGCCATTTGCTGACATACTGTGACCAGGGCCTTTAGACCCAGAGGTGTCAAAGGGAAATTAGACTTGTCTGCTTCATCACAAAGCCAGGATCATATCTGACAGAGGCACTCAGCACTATTCTGGGTTTGAATGGCCACTGGGGTCTGAGAAAATCTCAGGTTATTTTCAAGTGTTATTTTTTAGTGCCCTATAGCTTTATCTAATGATTCTGTTGTTTGAAGACAGGGTACACTGTACTCTGCAGATGAGAAACCTGGACAAAAAAAGGGCTGTGTTAGTGGATAAGAACAACAACAGAGGACCAAAAGAAAAATGGGAGGAAAGAAGAATAGCAAAGGACCATGTAACAAGATTTTTTATATAGAAAAGCACCTTTACTATGAAATATTTTTGGGTCCCCACAAAGACTCATGCAGAACTCTGCTTTGACCAAGTGGTTGATAGGATCTGTCACAGTACTTTGTGTGCTCGGCTTAGCTTGTTCAGGCTGCAAGCTTGAGGAAGTGAGAGATCCTCTATACCTATCAGAGTTAAAATGTAATATTTTGCATTTGAGTGACAAGGCAAATGAGCAACCACTTTGTGAATGTCTACGTGGACTTTCATGACAGAACTATAACAGAATTGGTCACAGCTCTAAACTGAAAAAAATAGCTGGGATGAAATATGGTAAAATATCAATATCTCAAATTTTCATTCTAAATCATACAGAAAGCTACCAGATTCCTTCACAGAATGTAAATAGTATTATCCACAATCCAATACAATCATAAAAACCTCAATCTAATTTACAAAGCATGAAAGAATTGAGTCATACTCCAAAGCAAGCACAAATTTTAGCTATTCCAGGAAGACAGAGATATCATTGATCTGAAACACAGGAAAAGGCAAAGAAACATAAGCCCTGATAATTTTTATTCCCTTAGCTGTTTAATAGAAAGAGTGTGTGTGTACATGCTTATTTATATATGGACACATACAGCAGTTAGATGACTTGTCTGGACAAACATTCATAAGAATGTAAGCAATCAATATTATCATAAAGGAAAAATACTGTGTATACATACATAAGGCATGCAATATATAAAGCAATAAAATACATGACTGTTCATAAGCAAGTGTAATTCCAAGGAAAGACTCAAATAAGCAATTAAAAACTCCCAGCTTTTTGCTTTTATCTTAAAATAGACAAAACCACTCACAATAACAGAATTTAAAAGGACAAGAAATCTCCTAAAGTCATTTATTCTTACCTCTTACACAACACATTTCTAGTTAATAAATTTTGCATAGAAGAGAAATACTCTTCTCTTCTACAAAAGTAAATACTATCAACCTCAACATCTTGGGGCATAGTTTTAGAAATAAATTGTATTACAGGTAAAGACTCCAAGTGATGAATTTACTACTTTATTCAATAAACCATTACCATGATTAATTACTCTCACTCTAAGAAGGTTTGATTTATTACTAATTTCACTTCAACTAAATCCTATCATCAGACATTAGACCTCATGCTTCATTCATGCAGCTCCATCTACTGTGACCAAATTTCTGCTCATACTCTGTAATTTTTCACAGTAGTTTTTTTTAATTTGCTATACATTCTTTTCACTTTGTTTAAAGACCTTGTAGAAGCTTTCCCAAGTTACAATAGCCATCATCAGCTTCTTTCTCACAATGTAATTTAAATATTTTACACTTCACGTTGCCTAGCATTGCTGTATATTCCTGAAAAATCTTTCAATTCACCATAAGCTTATCTCTAAATTAAGTGATGTGGTCCTTTTCTATGCAGGCAGTATACAAAGAATTCAGCTAAACACAAAAGTAAGTATCAATTTCGAATATTATTTTATTTTATATACTATATTTCAAAAAGTAAGCCAGAGCAAAATTTCTTCAAGGCCTAGCAAAAATATTTATCATCTAAATTAAAAAATTGTTCTGATTTTTCTTCACTCTCTTTACACTGATTTATGCCTCCTACTGTCTATCAAATCTCTTCCGATTTACATCAGACAGAGAACTACAACAGACCAGCATTTCTACATTTTTACAGGTTTGTACATAATTTGTTCTGTTACATTTAATATCATTAAGTGTGGACTCAAAGTCCTGTCTGAGACCCTACCTTGAAGGTATTTTATAACACCAATGTTTAAACAGGAAATTTGCTCAGGGCATTTTTTCTGCCACTAAGTTCAATATAAATATTAATATCCCACTAGCTATATTTTTAGATTATAATTTGTAGCTCAGTTTTATCACTACCTTGCATATATATAGTTTTAAACTGTAGCCTAGTAAAATCTCCTGTGCTGTTTACCATAATGTATTTTATGATGTTTTTGTCACAATTTCAGAAACTTGAATTTCAGAAGTCTAAATACTGCATTATTTTTACTTCAGTCCTTTTACAGCTTAGCCACAGCTATATTGTCAGAGTCTCACATATGTTTATGAAATTACATTTAATCTGTTCCTACTTTAAAAAACATACTCTGACCCCCAGAAGGGGATTCAATTCAAAATAAAGACATAACCTTTGTAACTTTTAAATAAAAAGTCACAAATTTCAGCATCATTTTTCAGTGAAGTGTGGAGCTTTTTCACACTCAATTATGTTCTACATTACTATTTTTCAGCCATGCTTTTAACTGTCTCTTTGTCCAGAGAGGAACAGAAATATTGTTCAATTTGTCAATATTTTGAATTTATACAATGGGAGGGACACATAAACTATAAACTGTAGATTTAGGGAATTTTACAATACAATTCCATTGTAACATATAGAAATGTGATGGACTATTACAGTGTGTTCTTTCTCCTAGTAGAAATGCCAGAATTCACAGAAAGTTGCCTATGACTACACAAAACATAGTAAGGAGACTGCTGGAGCTAAACTCATTTTGGACAATGCCAAAAAATTGATGCTTAGGAGTCTCAGGTGGGACATTAGGAGGTAACACGCTCCCACAGATACAGCCCTTAAAGTCTTTGGTGATTTCCAAGACTTAAGTAGATAAAGCCATAACTGATCTGACCTAGTGCAGGGATGCTTCTGCTTTGACCTGATATATTAGATGATCTTTAGAGGTCTCTTCCAACCAGCTTTTCTATGACAGAGTGATTCTACAGTTCCATACTGCCCCAGTATACTGTGAGTGTACTGGGTGTGTACCTACAACTCATAACTATAACTATACACTATATTCTCCCCTCACTCTTTAAAGTAAAAACTATATGAACTTGGAAATGGACTCAGAAAAGAGAAAGAGGAGGACAACATAAGAGATTTTGTCAAGAAGACAGCGATGATTAATGCAATGCTTTAGATGCTGGCATGCAAATACAGGGGGAAAAAAGTGAACCAGAAATATTAAAAAATCATAAGAATGATTAAGATAATGACTTAATGAAATAACAGATGGTCTTTAAAAAAAATGTGTTTAGAATATGAAAAAATAGGAAAGAGACAAAAAAAAAGGTAGCTATAGGGGTGGATATAAAACTGATGAGAATACCATAATCACTAAGTATCAGTAGTCTATTATTGACATGGAAGAAAATATCAAAGGGTTGCTGACACACTTCAGTTACGGTCTACTTTTTAAAATACTTTCATTAATGACACTTCTGATGGTAAATTTAAAATGCTTATTAAGACATCAGATGATACCAGGTGCACAGAGATTGCAGATACACTGGAAAACAAGATTAGAATTAAAAATTTCACATTGAAATTTGGGTTAATTTTTAAAAAAGGATAATCAAAAGAGAGAAATGCAAAATTATCTACATGGAAAAAACCAAGTATGTCACCACAAGACACAGAAAAAATGGCTAAATAGGTCTTCTGCTGAGTAAAAACCATCACATTTCTGTGAAGAATGCATTCATCATACTGGGTTGTTTAGACTGGAATGGATCTTGCACACCAAATGAAATCATCTTGTTGATAATCTCAGGATGGGTAAGACCTCAAATGCAGTACTGTGTCCAGCATCCTGCACTGCAATTCAAAAAAGATTTGGCTGTCAGCTAAAGGGTTATAATGAGAATGATCAGACCAAATGTCTTATCTGCTAATGAAGTCTGAAATAACTGAATTTGCTCAGCTGCAGAAAGATGAAGATGGAAGAGCGGTGCTCAAGGATGTAAAAAATTCTTGCAAAAAATGAGGAAATATTTTCACAGAATATGCTGAGTTGGAAGAGACCCACTAGTCCAACCCTTATGCTCGCATAGGACAATTTCCAAGAATTACACCATGTGCCTAAGAGTATTGTCCAAAAGCTTCTTGAACTCTGTCAGGCTTGGTGCTGTGACCACTTGCCTGAGAACCCTGTTCTAGTGCCCAGCCACCCTCTGGGTGAAGAACCTCTTTCTAATATCCAACCTAAACCTCCCCTGACACAACTTCAGGCCATTCCCTTGGGTCCTGTCACTGGTCACCACACAGACCAGTGTCTGCCCCTTCTCTTCCCCTCATGAAGAAGTTGTAGACTACAGTGAGGTCTCCCCCTCAGTCTCCTCTTCTCCAGGCTGAAAAAGCAAAGTGACCTCAGCCGCTCCTCATACGGCTTCCCCTCAAGGTCCCTCATCATCTTTGTTGTCCTCCTTTGGACACTCTCTAAGAGCTTAATATCTTTCCGATATTGCAGTGCAAAAACTGCACACAATATTTAAGGTGAGGGTGCCCCAGTGCAGAGCAGAGCCGGACAATCCCCTCCCTTGTCTGGCTGGCGATGCTTTGCCTGATGCCCCCCCGGACACGGTTGGCCCTCCTGGCTGCCAGGGCACTGCTGACTCAGATTCAACTTCTCATCGACCAGGACCCCCAGGTCCCTTTCCATGGCACTGCTTTCCAGAATCTCATTCCCCAATCTGTACATACATCCAGGGTTGCCCCATCCCAGGTTCAGAATCCAGCACTTTCCCTTGTTGAACTTCATCTGGTTGGTGATTACCCAGTCCTCTAATTTGTCAAGGTCTCTCTGCAGAGCCTACCTGTTTTCGAGGGAGTCAACAGCTCCTCTGAGTTTTGTGTCACCTGCAAACTTGCTTAGCATCCCTTCCAGTCCTGCGTCCAAGTCATTTATGAAGATGTTGAAGAACACAGGGCCTAAGATGGAGCCCTGTGGAAGCCAACTAGTGGCAGGTCACCAGTCTGATGTTACCTCATTCACTATTACCCTCTGTGCTCGACCCATGAGCCAATTGCTCACCCACCACATGATGTGTTTATCCAGCTGTGTGCTGGACATTTTGTCCAGAAGGATACTGTGAGAGACAGTATAAAAAGCTTTACTGAAACGATGCCTTAGGACCCTTTTAGTTTTTTGATTTTGCTAATTTTTATAAGCTTTATATGTAATTATAGCAAAAGTAGATTTTAGAAGTAGCTATATTACATTCCTCACCCTTTAGCACAAGTAGTTTACACATTCCTCAACCCTCTTACCCCATTCCATGCTTCCCATATCAATTCTACCCCTGAATTCAGTAGAAATGTTTAGTCTCTTGTCACGGCAAGGCCTATGGTGTTTAGAGAACACTCATATCTTGGCCTGAACAACAGAACACAGTCAAGAACTGGGTGACCGTGTACCCTTTGTGCTCTGAAGATGGTGATGGTGATGAAGAGGTGGTCCCGAAAAACCCCCAGACCCAATTCCCAGGGGGTGGGCTGGGGGAGGACCAGGGCAAAAACAACGGGATGGAAACACTTGGGATTGGACAGATAGTATTATAAAATGTAATATCTCAGGCACAGCCTGTGCGCGCATCCTGTAACATCTATGCCTTGGCACAAATTAAACCCTTTCCCTATCTCACCCTCAATTAACTGCTCCTGAGTTGTTTTTTTTTAGCATCAGCTGCTGGTATCAGATATACAAAAAGATTACAATAACTGGTTTCCCTTGATCAGCTACGTGGCTTATCTTGTCATAAAAGGAAGTCAGGTTTGATACGCAGGACTTTCCTCTCCTGAAGCTGTGCTGGCTGTGACTGACTGATGACTGCATTGTCTTTCAGGTGTTTTTCAATACCTCCCAGAATAATCTTCTTCCTAATTTTACCAGTCACTGAAGTGAGACTGACAGGCCTGTAGTTTCCGAGTCCTGCTTTCTTGCTCTTTTAGACAACTGGGACAATGTTTGCTGGTTTCCAGTCGGCTGGGACCTCTCTAGATTGCCAAGACAACTAAAAAATCATTGAGAGAGGTTTTGCCATGACATCAGCCCGCTCTTTGAGGATGCTGGGATGAATCCCATGAGGCCTCGTAGATTTGTAGGGATCCACTGGAGCAGCAGATCCTGTACAATTTCAGGGTTGACTGGAAGTTGATCATTCTCACAGTCATGGTCCTCCAGCTCAGGGCACTGACACCCCCTTGGTCTGTCATCCATGTTGAAGACAGAGGCGAAGAAAGTGTTAAACACTGTCCCTGTTTGTGAGGTGACGATCCTCATCTTGTAATGCACTGATTATATTTCTACACTGCCTATTGACACTAATGTATTTGAAAAAACTCTTTTTACTGTCCCCACATTTCTGGCCAACTTCAACTCCAGTTGAGCTTTGGCCGCACAAATCTTCTCCCTACAGTGGCAAGCAGCATCTCTGTGTTCTTCCCATGTGGCTTGACCTTTCTTCCACTGGGCATACACACTCTTTTTTTGCCTTATTTCCAAGAGAAGATCCCTGCTCAACCAAGCCAGCCTTCTGCCTCGCCTACTACTTCCAGCATTTGGGAATTGCCTGCTCCTGTGCCTTTAGGAGGTGATGTTTGAAAAGTGACCATGTCCATAGTTGATAGAAGAAGGAACTGACATTATGCTAAGAAATCAAATGGCAGTAAGGATTCAAGCCAAAAACTAGTAAAACCTTGCTAATGACAAGAGTAGTTAAGCACTGGAATATAATGCCCACGAATGCTTAAAAGGGATTGTAGTGGTGATGGTGGTGTCATTAAGAACAGGTTCAAGGAACCCCTGTCAAGCATGAGTGTCATAGCAGATCCCAGCCTGGAGTACAGAAGCAGATTAGATGACTTTGCAGGGTCTCTTCTAGCCCTCATATTATGCATTTATGATGTTGATTTGTTAATTGTTTTGGTTTGGGAGGATTGTTTTTTTCCTCAGGGACAAAACTCCCAAGAATTCAAGGGTGTTTTTTCCCCAAAGCTTTAGTTTTAAAGCTTGCTGGTAGGCTAAAACTGTCAATTGGATTCTTCATCTGTAACTAAAAATAACTTCCCAGATACAAGAATCTGTGCACTTTAGAACTTCATAAGTTACTTATGTAGAGGAAATAAAAATGTAATTTTTAATTTTATTTTTTTTAGAAAGCAAGAACTTGGTATACAGCTAAGATTGTTTCCTGTTGGAAACAGTAGAAAGGACAGACATTATCTCTATAACCATTCAGTGATCCTTTCTTCCATCCTTCTTCTCTTCTTTCAGAAAGACTTACAGTGCTTTTACAATAGACTTTCAAATTTCTGAGCAATTTAAAATGCAATTGGCAATATTGGTTGATATCTTGGAGGTCTTTTTCAACCTTTCTGATTCTATGATTCTATGATATATGTTGCAAAATGACAATACATGAATATTGACAGAGAATATAATGGAAGAAAAGTTGTGTTACCATAAAAGCCCTGTCAAATGGCAAAAGTCTTGAAACTAATGTCTGGAAGGAAGTGAAATCTCCTATGGCATGTGTTAACGATGGCCAGACAAAATGCCCATATTCAAATGCTTCAGGCATACTACTATAAAAGAACTGAACTTTTCACTAAATAATTTATGCTAAAATATGTATTTTCTGACATTAGTTTTCACTGCTTGGAAAAAACTGACCTGATTTACATAATATTCTTATGCGGAGGATCTGACTTTAAAAAAGTCTTAGCTTAATAAAATGTTTTTTAACACAACTTCCCATTGCACATGTCAAGTTAAGTTTCATCCTAGAGTATTGTTCATCAACCAGTAAATATGAACATAAGTATTAAACGATGTAAACCCAGACAAATTACAGAATTATAACTGTCATTTGAGATAATTAACACTGATATAATAAAGGAAAATTCTTTTTTCCAAATGAATTTGTCAATGTTTCAAACAAGGGAATGAGGAGAACAGATTGGATTTTACTAGAAGGCTTTCAGAAACTCAGTAGCAATTATTTTTTGACTAAGTAAGGTAGAAAAGAGTAAGGAAAAAAACTCCACCCAAGTGACCAAAACCACTTCTATAATTCAGCAGTCTGTATTGCAGAACTTAACCTAAAATAGTCTCATTTTCATGAGGTGAAATCATGCTTAATATCTAGCATTTCTATGGCAGATCCAATCCACAGACATTAATTACTGTAGCAAATGTTTTCTAAAATTATTCTCATTTTTTAAAGATGGAAAGCTGAAATATTCAGTAGTTAAGTTCTTTATCTAAAGTACCTGTGTGAATCAGTGATGAAGGCAGAAATAGAAATAGTTTCCTGAATATTAATCCAGTACATATGATGACATGTACTAAACACAGTTTTCCATGAAGCTGAACAATCCACATACTATTAAAATACATTTTAAAAGTATATGGAAAGTGAAAATACAGGTTATGTGGTATCAAGGAAGGGCTTCATCTGACTCATTAATATAGTGTATGTAGTCACTGGATTGATGACAGCCAGCAGGATGTAAAATAGATTATACTTCCACTTGGTATCCAGTGACAAGTTGATGGATGTTAGTATCAGGCTGTTCTCTGGTTCACAATTTAATTATACTTTTGATACACTCAGAATATCTGAAACCCTGAGAAAGAAATCTAAGGAATAAGAAACATTAGTGTTTTGCCATTTCCATACAGACCTTCAAAAAGAAAATCAGATCAACTTCAGATTTCAAAGTTGTACATAAACCTTGATAAAACTATTATATTTATGCCCTATTTAAAAAAAAAAGTGTTGAGAAGAACAATTGGAATAAAACCACAGCAGTATGAAAAGCTTAGAAGTCTGTCAATATTCTCTAAAGTGCTTTTCTTTCATCATCTTCAAAGAGAGCTTCTAACATCTTCCCCCAGTTGCCTGTGTATTTTGTCTGGGCTGAAAAGGTCTGATTGCCATGGTGTCAAAGTTTACAACTTTTTCAAGTATAAAAGTCAGAAATCAGTTCTGTTGAATGAAATCTTTGTCAATACAGATAAAAGGTCAGTGCAATTTTATCTACAATATAGGATAAGGTTGACCTGTGGAAGAAATGCTTTGTTGCTTTATGGGCTGCAAAACATAGTCTTTTGACACATTAATTCTTTTCTGAGCTTTTTATCTGAAAAGACATTGTTATAAAAATAAGGCATTTATAGTGTGCTGTTATGTACCCCTTTTCTTAGGAAAGTTCTGTACCATAATTTATATTTTTATTGACTAGTTGGATGCTCTCCATTTCATAATCATCACGATTTCACACATCCATATTAAAATAAAGAGGTAGCCATAAAAAGGTAGGACAGTAGTATGAAATAGGGATTCCAATTTCAAATGCTTGTAAAAATCTGTGGAATTAATTTAACAAGCAAAGTTAAGTTTTCAGGCATATTTAAACATATAAATTGCCCTATGAAACCTAGAAGCCCAAGGTCCATCTGTGAAGTTTTCTGGCAAAACAATTATTACTTTCCCCTGCATCAAAAGCAAAACATGCAATAAAGACTTCAGTCACTTATCTAAGCAAGGTTCTGTCTACATTCAAAAAATTACAACTAGATCTAGGTAGGTATGTCTGAAAACACTTGCCTAAAGCTGTCTCGTAAATAAAAGGTGACTAAGTGAGACTGTATAAGATTTGTAAGTACTCCTTCCTCTTCCAGATGGGATAAATATTTTTCAAACACATAGCTGAAGGCAAGGGTATATAGATATCTTACATGTATACCTCTCTGTATACAATGAAGTTTACAATTGCACTTCAAAGACTTTAGTCTTTGTGTCATATGAAACAGAATTTTAAATGACAACACAAAGTTTAGAAAATTTTTAAATGTAAACAGATTATAACCAATTAATTTGTGCTTAAGATGCAAGAAAGCTAACTAAAGCTTTTCAACATAGCCACTAAATCAGTCCTTACATTACCCATTTGCAGTATCTAAAGCTATAATTTATTGTCAGTCAAGGATAAATTTATAAATTACACAATCTATGGGTGAATTATTTTTAAAAGTACAGGATTTAATGGTTGTAAAGGTTTTACAGGTTTGGAAAGCATTTTGTAACTAAAGAAAGGGGAGATTACACTAACCCATTACACTAGCCTTAGTGTTAAAGAGCATTTATTAACCAGAACCGTTAATGAGAAATTAGACACATAGCTCCTATTGTTGATGAAATTTTCATTCTACTTTCTCTATGCACAAAGTAAAAGATATAAGACATTGTTTAAAGAAGGTGTTGTGAAACTGTATACTGCAGAACAAGATATAATTTTTGAGAGGTTACGTGTACTCTATAAACATCAGCATCTTATCTCACGTATTATTAGTTGAATGAACTTTTTAATGAAGTTGCGTACATTTCACACATCTTTAAACTCCTCGTGCAGTTCTTGGGTCATCTCAATTTGTAATTTAGCATCTGGAAAGCCTGCTGCCTTCAGAAGGTCTTTGTGACATTTTTTCCAGATTATTTTTACTGTATGAATAAAAGGATAGATTCTTTCCTATTGGTAAGATGAGATACCACAGTGGTTACTGCAGGCACCTAAACTGCTTTTGGAGATCTCCCCTCTTTCTTGTCCAAATGCTCCTCAAAAGACAAGA